AATAACAACAACAATAACAGCAGCAACAACAACAATACTAAAAACAAGAACAACAGCAACAACAATACTAACAACAACAACAACAACAACAACAACAACAACAACAACAACAACAACAGCAACAGCAACAGCAACAGCAACAGCAACAACAACAACAACAACAGCAACAGCAACAAAAATACTAACAACAACAAAGAAAAGACAATAGAGCATAATAATAAAGGAGAAAGGAAAGCACTGACCACACCACTTGGTCCTGGTGTGGCGCCAATCTTCTTGTTGATCTCTGAGATTTGTGCAGTAGGGCCGGTCATGAGTGAGGTCCCCGAGTCCACCACACCCTTACAGCCCTGGCTGCCACAGTAGTTGTCAGAGCCGCCTACGCTGATCCTGCAAGCGGAAAAGGAAAAGATGGTGGCCAAGGACATTATAACGATTGAAAGAAGACTTTCTAAAGGCTGTTTCGGGCTTTACTTTACATAGCTAACAAGAGTTGTATATAGGTGTATGTCCTTAAATGGTTTATGCTGTTGTCATGGAAGCATCTTCGGTGAAATGAGTGTTTTTTCTTATGTGGGCCAAAGGACTTAAACACTGAACAAGCACTTACTTACTTACATATTTTGCTTTAGAGAACTAACGCGCGCTCAGATGACCTTATGCAGTTGAAAGCGCCTTGAAACTTTTGTTTAACTAAATTATGAGAGCTAGCAAGAATTACATGAAACGCCCCTCCAAGAGGCATTAAATACTATTCAATATTCACAAGTCTCGCAAATGAATAGCTCAAGGACCTATGACCAGACACAAAGGCTGACTTGTTTGACAGGGCAATTAAAGTGGGAGGAGGAACAATATATAAACGAGGCAAAAAATTATTACAATGCTACAAATATATTATCAGTTTGGTTTAAAATTTGGCTGCTTTTTGTATTGTTGTTTTTTTAAATCTAGCCTTTGGTGGTCATAAGCTGATTATAGACAAAAGTTTGGTTGGACCCCCCCCCCCCCAAAAAAAAAAAATTTTTAAAAAATTGTTAATGAAACAAAACAAAAAAACCCACTATACATCCATGAGACAATAAGGAGTAAGTCCCCATCACACTTTTGAGCGTTGATGATTCGTTTCTTCAGAATTGTACAGTACTTCTTTGTATCTCATTTTCTTCCTTTTTGTCCGTCCATCTATCTCTGTCTGTCTGCATGCCTTTCTGACAGTTCATGTTTGCCTATCTGCCTGCCCGTCTGTCTGTCTGTCAGTCAGTCAGTCAGTCAGTCAGTCTGTCTGTCTGTCTGTCTGTCTGTCTGTCTGTCTGTCTGTCTGTCTGTCTGTCTATCTGTCTGTCTGTCTGTCTGATTGTCTCTCTGTTCATATACCTGCCTGCCTTCCTGTCTTTCCCTCACCTTCTCTCTTTGGCGTTGTTTTTCCCTTTCTAACAAAAAAGACAAAAAATTTGATATAACCAACAGTTGAGCCTACTCTTGCGACCAAATATCCAAGACAATAACCTGTTCAAACAACGGCCAGTTCTCTTCTCACCTCCCCCGCCCCCTTGCATTTTTTCTGTATCATTATAACATTGTCCCAGAGATCCACCTTTCTAAAATGACCACTTTTCTACTCGACAATAGAGGGTCGTCAAAGACAGATTCTAATGCAACTTCAAGTAATTGAAAGCGTCTACGTCGAATCATGTTGATTTATGTGTTATCTGGCGACACAGCAACGTTCGAAGAGCTTTCTTTTATTTTGTTTGCTAAAGAAAACTCCCTTAAAACAGTTTTGTCTTCAGAGCCTTTTTGAACTGCGTTTTAAAGAATACTCTTTTATAGCAGCTTTGTCTTTAGAGATTTCTTGTTTAAAAATTTTTTTAAATAAACCCCTCTTTAACAGTTCTGTCTCAGCTTTTTGGGGGGTTTCTTTATAAAAAGAAAACTCTTTTATAACAGTTCTGTCTGTAGAGATGGTGCTGTTACTCTCCAAAGCCCAGAACACTGTATCAGCGTTTTAAAATGCGTCAAAAATTTCATTCTAAAACTACCTTGAGACTCTGGAGGGATCGCAACTCAGGGTTTGAGATTATGACGCGAGTACAAAACCAACAGACCACAATCTTCGAACGTTGGGACTCCCCCTTCCCGCCCTCACCAACCAACATGTGCTCACGTTCCTTGGTCTTGTGCAACGACAATATTATTTCGTATCTCATTACAGGTTAACCAGGAAGGTAGCTTACACAATCCTGGCTGTGAAAAAAATCCAGCTTTGCCTCCAATTATGTGTGTAAAAAATCGAAGCTAAAATTCGACCCAAACAGAGAAAAAAATGTAACTCATTTCCCCGAACGATATCCTCATTGCCCAATGTAACGACATGGAGACGAGGTACGAAGTAATACTTGATTACATTTCGATTACATTTTGATTTTGCCAGAATGTAATCGAATCTCCCTAATAAATGTAATACCTTGATAAAACGTGAGTTGGGTATTAATTCTGTAGGACATAAATGATTCACCTTTTTAGTGTTCACAAGATTTTCATCAGGCACATAATGTGATCCTAAATTAACAAATATTAACTAATTGTGCAGCTCAAGAGTAACACAGATCACCAATAATTACATTCTGTCACAGGGGATATCCAGTGTAGTCATCTTTCTTCCTGTTACTCACTTTTTTGCCGCTCTCAATAAAATAAATCATCAGAATTTTGGTCAAGATGACCCAGCCAGAAAAGGTTACCTGATCCTTATGTCTACAGCTTATTACGGAATTAAGAGAATACGGCTGTGGTAAATGTCGCAGGGGGGGGGGGGGGGGGGGGGGGGATAGCTATTTTTTCCAACACATGCGGCGATGCACTGAGCTTGAATTTTTTAGACGGAGTGTCTACGTACATGGTAACCGGGCGCGTAGCCTCAAGGTCTACGTACACGGTAACCGGGCACGTACGGTAGCCTCAGTGTCTACGTACACGGTAACCGGAAGGTTCAAGAGATAGTTCACTCAACCAAAAAGAGTGTCACTGTTACATGTATTGTTTTTCCACACAAGTAGGGTAGATTCTAACTCTGTTCGCAAAGTTCGCGCTTTTTCGAAAAGGCGCAGAAGGGTCAACCGCTCTATAGTCCAGCATGATACCCTCTAAATTTCATAACTGAACGTCCCGTAAGCCTTTACTTTCGCTTTCGTTACCACCAAGAAATTTGTCTGTAATTGTCTGATAACGCAACAATTATTGTAACATGCAGGTTCGGCATTACAAACGTGGTGTCGCCATGAAAGTAAATCAATATGTGTCACTGTGTCGTCACGTATAGGGGCAACATGAAGAAAATAAAGTTATACAAGCGTCTTGTCGTGCTGGCAATTGTGGCCGGTCAATGAACCTGCGCGCGTTCTGAGCGCTGCGAAGTACAGGACTCAGGAATGGTGGGGGCAGATTATTGATTTTTTTAAAAGACGCACTCGGGGATAGGGGGGGGGGGGGGGACTGGATGCAACACCAGTGGACCAAAAAAACTGAAATTGGAAGCAAATATGTTTAATGTTTAGAATTTTGATAACTACTACAGCTCTCTGCTAAGTAAAGTGTGCGTGGGTGCAGGCCTTGTGTGAAAACGAAGTGTTCGCGTTTCATTGGATTGGTGGCAGTATATTTTAGCTTTCTGTACAAGATTCGCAGATTTTCAGTATCACTGCATCTTGCCCTCCCACAGTTCTTACACCTCTCACACTGAATAGGTCTAATTGGGCTATTCTACTGTACTTTGAGTTAGAGAATTAATTTTGTCTTTCACGTTTATTATATAGGCCTGTATATATGATATGAATCATGACAGTCGACATTCTGGTTCTAGGCTCAAAGAAAGATTCATTTTTATATAGTTTATATATACAGGCGAATATGATGAAGGGAAAATATTAATAAATCGCACAAGACCCCAGGCGCCACCACTTTCTGTACGTAATCAAGATTGTAAATTTGGTGCGTGACTCTTACTTGAAATTATCTCCCAAACCCTCAAATTGGTGTAAAATAACCTTGCTTTGATAAATTGGTGGTTTTCATTTCAGCATTCTAGGGTTCAACAGTATAATAATAATGGGTATTTTATCCAAAATGGGCTTCTGTGGCGATCACCCGGAAAGTTCCTCCTTTTTTAGAATTCTGAGTTGAGACCCATGTGATTTAAATAAGATGAAATTGGTTTTCAAAATGCTGTGATGTCACACCCTTTGGTGCAGAAAAGCAAGCATTAGACCAAATACTACAGCCTTTGGGTGTTGACCAGAGCTAAAGATGTACTTTTCCATGTTTGATTTTGACTTGTCTTCTCTAGTTTTAATATGTCCTGGGTCAATCATTTTTTATTTGCTCTTTTAGCTTTCATATTGTTTTATCCAATGTGTATGTTGTGTGATTTGTGTGTGTTTAGTGACAGAGAGAAAAATCGTTGTGAGGATATGGAGATTTTTGTTTATTATGTAACTACATGTACAAAGTCATAGTCAAGTCTACTTCTGACAAACTCCACCGATAAAGCTATCCTCATTTCGTTTTATCCAATGTGCATGTTGTGTGATTTGTGTGTGTGTAACATGTTAAGTATTAAATATATTTAGAGGCTATTCACACGTGTAGATGCATGATGT